CGTTTTGCCTTTTAGTTCCTTCGTGTTGCCGGCGAGCAGCGTACTGCTGCTCCATTCTTCGCATAGGATGAGCGTTTCCTGCTGCTTTTCCTCTAGCTACTACGTCAGATTTATGTTTCGACATATTATTATGTGGATAGGAAGCGATGCGTTGCTGGTGCTCTTTTGACAGCTAGCTTCCTGGACGGATGAACAGCAGCATCAGCAGCAGGAAGAGCAGCTCTTTTCGGACGCTCTGTATTGGTTTCGCTCGTGAACTGCTGCTATAGCAGTGTTTCTTTGATTAGTTCAGTATCCGTGTGTCTGGAATTGCTGTTGCCTTAAGCTCTGTGAACGGGCGACTCCATCTCTCCACCTCCTCTCTCTACCTCCTTTTTCCCTTTGCCTATCGTCGTACATCTTCTGGAACTTCACCCTTTCGTAGTTTTAATGCAGTGGCGATGAACAGCCACCACTTCCGGTGAAACATACAGATTATTCTGCATCTGCTTTTACTTCCTTCTTTCCGGTTCAGACGTTTCCCTTCATCTGATGCTTTCTTGCGTGCTGTCCACTGACAATAGTATTCATCCTGAGCTCATTGAACTTCCCGTTTGTTTTCTGCAGTGCATGCTATTCGCGTATCATGAGGAATTGCTACTTGTCGGTCCACTCTGTTCCCTTCATTAGGCTTAAGATCAGTGGAAAGATGTTGTGGCAGACGAGTTACTGCTCAAAATCCGGGAAAATTCCCAGGGTTTGAACTCTGTCTGGGGCTCTGATTACTCCTGAGCCAGTACTAGGAAATGCGAACACGGCAAAGGGCAGGTTGCTGGGATCCGGTATTTGAGGGTCCTGTTGGGTGAGTGGTTTGCACTGTATTTCCTACGAATTAAATAGCGTCAAACACCAGTGTGATTTGTTCGCGTAGCTTGGGCTAGGTGTTGAGGAAAATATGGTTGTTTCTGATTTTAGCTTACTATGGTCGTCTCAGTGCAGTAATTTGTAATCAGCTGGCAGAGCATGCTTTCTTGCACATTGTGCTCATGCTGCTCCGGATCTCGATCTCCTGCTGCTGCCGCCACACCATCCAGTAATCCGGTAAATCTCTCCTGTTTATTTATCCGGTTTTTTCCTCTAACTTTTGCAAGATTTGACTCAGATTGTTGACTGCAGCACTGCAAGTTAACGCAAGGCAGGTGCGATCGTGCTGCGCGGTAAAACTATCAGTGAGTAGATTTCCACAAGCAGTAGCCTTCCCAGAAAATCTTGGCTGGCAAATTGTGTAACTCTTTGCCGCTGGTGAATTTTTATGCGGTTTTTGCTGTGCAACAACTGCACAAAGCGCATATTGTCATGGAGTTGTCTGTGTTGTGTGCGTGTGTGTGTGTGTGTGTGTGTGTGTCCGCAGCAACTTGTCCGTGACTTTCAACTCGGGAACCACAAAAGCTGAGAGGCTGAAAATTTAGAGGAATGTTCCCCACCCACGTGTGGCCCCGCAAATTTAAATCCAGACTCGCCGTACCCGCGGGCAACACATACGACTTCGTAAAAATTTTGGCGGGTAAATTATCGTC